AATTTATGTTAAGTATATATATAAATTTTAGTTCTCTTTTATATTTCATATTTGCAAAAATGATGTCAACATTTTTATTGTTTGTATACATACAAATGCACTGTACGTTCACATTAATCCATAACCCGATCGCTGTTTAACATCTTACGTGACCTATACTAGAAACATTCTTCAAAAATGGAGTTGAACACCACTCATAACTATGCCGGTCAAAACAACTTGAGATGCGTGAGATTCTTTTTCCACAGGGTAACTATTCAGGCGTGAGAAAGTTACCAATCAACTTCCCTTACAGAAAACTTCTATATAATTTTCTAATTATTAATATGTAACTATTAGCATTTCCAATTTATAATTTTCAATAAAATCATCAATTTTATTATATATAAAAAATATATAAAAAATTAAATTTGTTATAATAACAAAATATGACAAGATTTATAACTAAAAAAAAATCAATTAATGCCTGACTTAACTGTATCGCATTAGTCTAATCATTAGTTTAACGATTTTTATTTGACTTTTAATATTTTTCCCCTAATAATGACATTAATACATCCCCTAATAATTACATATGTATAAATATAAACAAGAATAAAATTCGTTTTATTTCAAATTGCATCGCGATGTATGTAGAATAAAAGAAGGTATCAAAAGAAAAAGTCCTCTTAAAAGTCCTTCTATCTTGACTTCGGGTTTTGGATATTGCAATGAATTCTCTCGACACGGAGTCCGCTGCATACAGGTTACTGGCGACCTGTGTGGCATGAGAACGGGGCCCGCTCTTCCCACATAATGAACGACTTCGAAGAACGGTAGTAGCATTGACCTGAATCTATTAGGATTCTTCGGTTTGGCGGTATTATAACTGCCCGTGAATCAATGCCTTACTTAGTAACATTCTCCGACCACACGAAAACCTGGCTCGTTTCTGTCCGGTTAGAACCGGAGTACCATTGCGCCGTCACTTTTCGCGGTAAGAACTTCTCGCAGCTTCCTCGTATTCCTCGAGGAATTCTGACAATACTTCGATGCATGTCATCGCAGCATCCGCGTCTTGTTATTAGTATCAATGATGATGTCTCAAATGCTGACTTCTTTTCATATCGAGAAGTTTTCTTCAATCTTAATTTCCTATTCAATAGATGATTTTCGAGGGAAAGTCAAAATAAAAGTTTTTTTTAATCTTTAATTAGAATATATCGGTCCTGATAACCTTGGAACTTTTCCTAATTTTTAAATAGTAATGATTTGAAATAATTTTGTTTCACGATCTTATTTTTCACAACTTTGAAAAATTTAAAAAAAAAAATAAGACTAATAACAAAAATTTTAGTGGATAATTCTAAGAATCCATATTTCCTTTAACAAAAAATATGTATTTCTGTTAAGTGGACTACAAATTTTTTTTTTATTTAAAATTTTAATTTATAATAAAAAAAATATGTGTGTGTGTGTGTGTGTGTGTGTGTGTGTGTGTGTGTGTGTGTATCTGATGCATTATTATAATTTATAGTATATGATACTTTATCTTGCATTGGGGAGGGGAGACAGCAAATTAGCAGCACACAATTCTTAGGAAATTTTCTTTATCTGAGTCTATAAAAATGTACATTTTTTGTAAAATTATTTTTCATCAATAAATAAAAACTAATGTAGTAAAATTTTAAGTTTTGATCGCAAAATCATGATATCAAAGTCTGTACAAACTGATCGTACTACAATTATTTGTAATTATTTTGTTGTTTGTTTGTTGTTGTTATTGAATAATCGCATGGTTGCACTGATTTGAATGAATTTTTAACATAATATTTCCATTAACTTTGCTTTTTACAATCTATTGTCTCGGTATATTTTACAGAAATTTCTTCTAGTATCTTCAATGTCTGAAAAAAGATTGGAAAATTAGACTTTAATAGATTGCAAATATATTATTTTTTTTAACTGACAACATTAAAAATGAATGGATACATTTTATCGTAACTTATTCTTTTTTTTTCACTTAAATAAAATTAATACAAATTATAATACATGTTGGATGCTATTAGCTATAATTATTAATTAAGAAAACAGTACAAATGTGTGCAAAACTGTGCAGATTTTAATACAAAAATAATAAAACGTTTACCAAGTGCAAAATCCACTTCACTTTTTGAGCAACCTCAATAGTTACCTCATTTTTCTCCTTTTTATACCACGCGACATTGGTCTGAACTCTATTAATAAGCTTGTTGATCACGGTATCATATTTCTCGCTTTTGCCTTTCAGTTGTAGTAGCTGACGAAAAAAAAAGATCGCAATTATATAATGATTCGACATTTTTGACACTCGAAATATATACATATATGTATATGAGTTTCCACAGACGGATATCGTTCACTTTTCGATTCTTGTTAAATTTCATCACTCGTGCAATTTTCTTACCCATTCTATGTCCTCTTCTTGACGAATGTTTTTCGAGAAAGCATACAATACGCCGATTAAGGTAACATTTGCGCTGAAAGTACAGCAATGAAGATGTAACGAGCGTCAGACAATAATAGTAATCATACAAAAAAAGATAATTTATTAAATTTTTTAATAATTATTTTTTCAACAATTTGAAAATTATCAAAAGAATTTTCTTGCCAATTGCTTCTTGCAAATAAACTTTATTTAACTTACTAATTATTATTTCCTTCTGTTGTATTCGTGTTAAATTCATTCCAATGTTGAGTTATAAACTGTGTTGCAACGTGATGTCCGTGTGGATTTAACGCTATGGACTTTAGAGCTATTTCTACATATTCAGACGTTACATTCTTTTGTGAATATATTGTGGACAGATATCTGGAATTATTATAATACGCAATAAGAAATTGTAATATATATTTAAATAATTATAATTCAAAAATTAATATTCAAACGAATATCTACTTAATATTCTTTATATCGCATCTATTAAGAATTTTAATGTAATTTCATTCTATCATGAGATGCGGAATGTATCTCACCTTTGCAACAGACTCACGTTTGCATGACATCCCAATGCGAAGGCGAGGCTTTTCTTATCATGTACCGTTGATTCGTTGTATCTTTTCAAAAGTGCCAGCCATTGTTCCTCCGTGGTAACTTTCATGAGTGTGCAGTACGCCCAACTACGAAATTCTTGTGGTAAACTAGTTTAACAGATAGTTTTACTGCTGTCATAACAGTATTTAATATAGTTATGGTTAATTTAAACAGTAAAGACCATTGCTCTTATTATATTTCTACGATGCATTTAATTAATAAATGTATTTTTGTAATTTTCAAATAATGTGAATGGTTCAAATAATAAATTAATTAGAAATATGTTAAGAAGGGCTACGAACCATAAGAATAGAAATAAAATATAAATAATAAGCAAGATATATTGAAAAGCGCTAAAATACATATTACAACAAATTAAAACAAATAAAATGATCGACTCCGATCATTCTCAATTATTAGATGTACAACTTTGCTTCCGCCGTTTTCCTATAGATGGTTTTAGCGGTAAGTGGTGGTCGAAATAAATAGATCATAGACGTCATACAATAAACTTGGGCATCTGTCAACATAACCCCATAGAAACATTAGTCGATTTGTATCTGCATCATAAAGTTATTCTCGATTGAAAATGTCAGTTTACGAGCCAAATTCTCGTCATTTGCGGAAGGTTTTAATTTTTTACTTCAATATGAAGAAATCTGCGGCTGAGGCTCATCGAATGCTCTCAAATATTTATGATGAGGCCGCTATTAGTGAAAGAACGTGTCGTGAGTGGTTTCAACGCTTCAAGAACGGTGATTTTGACGTCCAAGGTCATGCTCTGTATTTGGTGGGACCAGCTCGGCGTAGTGTATTATGAACTGTTAAAACCGACTGAAACAATCACAGGCGATCGGTATCGAACGCAATTAATGCGTTTGAGCCGAGCATTGAAAAACAAACGGTCGCAATACAACGAGAGACACGATAAAGTGATTTTGCAGCATGACAATGCTCGACCATGTTGCGAAAGTGATCAAGACATACTTGGAAACATTGAAATGGGAAGTCCTACCCCACCCGCCGTATTCTCCAGACGTTGCTCCTTCTGACTATCACTTGTTTCGATCAATGGCACAAGGCCTGGCTGACCAGCACTTCCGGTCTTATGAAGAAGTAAAAAATTGGATTGATTCGTGGATAGCCTTAAAAGATGACCAGTTTTTTCGACGCGGGATTCGTACGCTACCCGAAAGATGAGAGAAAATAGTGGCCAGCGATGGACAATACTTTGAATCATAAATGTATAACCAGTTTTTTACAATAAAGCCTCGAATTTCGGAAAAAAACGGCGGAAGCAAAGTTGCACCTAATAAACATATAATATCTTTAAAGAAAATATTTATATAAACATATTTAAAAAGTCAATGACTAATAATAATTAAAAATTAATGAGAGGAAATACAGACTTCTACTTTGATAGAAAATGATGGCATAATTACATCCAATGATAACGTGGTTGTCATTGATATGAAAACACATCTTGATGTCAAATCAAAAAGACCAATTTCTAGCAATGTCATTGTGCGCATGTTAGAATGAAAATTACTCCCTATATAATAACAATAGTTTGATAAAAATATATGAAGTTAATGTCGATAAAAATGATGAAAAACTCAGTCTGTTAATATAATAATAGAAGGATGTAAAACAAGTGAAGATAATTGATATAAAGTTTATATGATATGTATAAGAATAAAATAAAAATTAAGAATAAAGAATATAGAAAATCTTAGAATAAGTCACACCTTAGAAATAGTCTTAAAGTTAGTTCACGTATTCATAGATAAAAATGAGATCACTCAGAATATAAAATCTTCCAAGTATATGTTTGTCCAAGTATTTGAAATTTTGAAACAAAATCAGTTGGACTGTACAGAAATACATAAAAGAAACAGTTGTGATGGAAAATTCTTTAAAATTTCAATCGGTAATGAAAAAAGAAGGTAAATTAGAGGTACAATGGAGGAGATAGAAATAATATGTTTCAGCGCTTTCAATATATCTTGCTTATTATTTATATTTTGTTTTTATTCTTATGGTTCGTAGCCATTCTTAACATATTTCTAATTTATAATTTTCAATGTTAATATACTTAATTCTCATGATTAACAAGTCTTAAAAATGAGCAAATACATTTTATATTAAATAAACAAATATTTGCAGTTTACTTTACTAAATACGTACGAGTTTGATTCGTTTTGTAGCATTTTTCGATCAAAGTCAAGAACCGTCATTAAACATGCTTGATAATCTACCGAACAAGCCGATTTCATTAAGTTAATTTCGAATTCTGTCCACAGCGTGGGATTCTTATAAATAACCGTCGGTGCGATCTTGCTGTATACTTTATTTATGAACTTGCATATGACGAACTGAAAGAAGTCAATTGAATTTAATAGATTTTTCATTTAAATATAAAAGAGTCGAGAAAAATTCATATTAAGCTTAAGATTTTTAAACGTAAAATTATTTATAGCAACACATTTCTTTTCAATACACACTAAATGTATCTATAAATATAAAAAAAGCTCTGATAATTCAAAAATATTTTTTTTAGTTGTAATGAATTAAAATAATAGTTTAGAAGCCCCCATCCCCCCCCCCCCCCTCTCTCTCTCTCTCTCTCTCTCTCTCTCTTCTGTTCTTCTTTTTTAATTTTCTTTTCATATTGTATCTCGTCCTCTTAAAAAAGAAAAACTGTCTACCGTATCAAGTCAATATCTCACCCTCCCATTTCAAAATTCTGTTTCATCTTTAAAAACATCAAAGTGTTCTTATGAAATTGCGAAAAAGAAGGTAAAGTAATCGGCAGCGATATTTATCGTAACATTATAGAGATCTGCGGTTGATTCGCACAAGAAGTAAGAGTAAGTAATTCCATTTATCCAGAATTTACGAGCAATAAACCGGGTGGATTAAAACGCAGAGATATGCCGCAACGTATTTATTTAATTTGGCACGTTAAGTTTACAGACGTGGAATGCCTGAAGAAACCGTGGGGCCCGCCTCTCAACTCGCGGTGAGACCTCGCCTCTCGTATATTTTTGCAATAATGGCTTCTGTGAAAAGGGAACTGTTACGGCAACATTGGTCGGCGCGAGTGCTTAATTAAATGTTACGTGCCTCGTATTTCGGTGCAAATAATGATTGAGTCCTTCGATCTAATTGAGAACGTCGAATCGTAACGACGGCCGATGGGTCGATGATCACTTATATATCTGTCCCAGGGATAATCATACGCTTTATAATGCCATACTTAAGTCTTAACTGCGCGTAATAACGACATAAGCCAGAACTGCATAGCGGACGATTTAGATCGCGCGAGGCGGCGTCGATTATATCTCGCATACCTTATCGCGCCGCGACCGTATAAATTAATAATAAAAAGAAATGTGCTCGCCTTTGCAATCTCGCGAAAATCTACTTAGAAAGACGAATGAACTTGACAAAGTCACAACTAGAATATAGCAAATATACCGCAAACATTTAAGGAATCCACCGCTTTACTTGTGTACGATCGTTTCTTTATACTATCGAAGAAATGATCGATGTTCATAATTAAAATAGTACACTTTATTGCATAATATTATGTATAAACGTATAGCTTCAAGTATTACCTTGATAACTTGGATAACCTTGATTACCTTGAACAAGTTTGAGTCCCAAAGTCGATTTTGGATGGTAGTTAATAAACGCAATACAGGTGTCCATAATATTATTCCACTTTCTTTTTCCATTTTCTCAAGAATATTCCACATAATTCTTTTATCAAGCAATCCGGCGTTAGTCATCGCAGATGAGTCGGTTAGTACTTGAACTTTAGTTATTTCCGGCAGAGCTTGAAAAGATTTTGTCAACAATTTCCAGTTATCTATATCGTAATTGACACGATATAACGCTGCAAATAACAGGACAATAAAAATAAATTATATCAATAGTTTTATTTAGTATAAGTTTAAAAGTTTTATTTAGTATAAATTTCGGCAGTCTCCGAAAAAATATTATAATTAATAAATTATTAATCCTTCTCGCTCGACGTTACAATAAACGAAACTTGATTCAATTTTACTATCTATGATTTACAGTAGTGTAACGATTTTTGAACACCCTATATATATATATGAAACAAATTCTTTATGAATTTATGAAGTGGCTTGAGTTTATTTCTAAATTGATCGACACCAGTTATTGACGGTAAAAATATTACTTTGTTATCTCCTTAATTGATCGGCGTATGTTAAGACAGTAATATTACCCGTTTGATTTATATTGAACAAAATCCACTGGTTGTTGGAAGTAGCCCGGCTCAAAGCAGTGTCGTTAATTTTCATGCGTTTCTTGACCATCCATGCCTTCGGCAGGGTATTACCAAATTGCTGTTCATTTTCGGTTGTCCACGTCAACGGGATGTGCCATAACTCTTCGCTTGTACTATTTAGACCGTAATGATAAAATCGATCCTAAAACACAAACATCACATAATCGAGCAATTTTTATCGATGTCCATTATAGACATTTCATAATTATATTTTACTTTTTTATTTAATTTATCTTTTCCAACAGCTTTATTATAGTATTATAATGAAAATTATAAATTGCAGTTTTATTCGTAAAAAGTATCTGTTTAGAGAATATAATGTTATTCTCTCTCTCTCTCTCTCTCTCTCTCTCTCTCTCTCTCTCTCTCTCTCTCTCTCTCTCTCTCATCAATTTTTATGAGAAAATTATAATTTTACAACATACACGCATAAACATATAAAATATATAAAAATATAGTTGAAAAAAATTATTGATTACGTAGACAATTAATGTAAAAATTATTAATGTGTCAGCAATTTATATTTATAATTATCTTCGGTTGAAAAATAAATTGGCCAAAAAAAAATTTTGTTGTAACATTTATATGCATATTCAATATAAAATAATATTTGTATCAACATTATATGTTTTTTAAATATATTTTTAAATATAAAAAGTTTCATTAATTTGAAAAATTGAAAAGTCATAGTTAAATATGAAACCCATCAAATTTTTGATAAAAAAAATTGATTCCAGATTAATCGGAAGAAATTGAAGCATTTTATATAATTTAATCGTTCTGTGTAATTTAGCCACACACTTCTTTTTTTTTCATTACGTTAAGGTAATAACGATTATTAATATCGTAAATGCATTCCATCGATAAGTAATTTGTCGTCGACGAAACAAGATGAAGAAACGCGCCTGGAGATCGATCTGAGATAAAGAGCGGCGCACCTGCATAAGCTCGATCGCACCGGTTTCTCGATTCTGTTGGACGTGCAGGACAGGGAGTCCGGCCTGATACGTCCAAGTTCGCATAATGTCCTTCATGCGGAGCCCTGAGGAAGCCGATAGCCCGTTCGCTTCATCGATCTCCATCTGAAAAACGCTCCAAAGATCCTCTTGATCGGCATTGCGATAGTGATATGTGCGCATGTAGTGGCGCACAGACGAGAGAAAGATTCGCTCGCCCAGAAAATGATAGATCATGTGCGTCATGCAATTACCCTTGACGTATGATGTCAAATCAAAGACGCCAGTGAGCTTGTTCATTTTCCTCAGATCAATATGTAACGGGTGTGCTGCTTCGCCGGCATCGTTATCAAATACGTCGTGACATCCGATCAGGAAATGGGTCTGTAGATTCCAAGATGTAGGCTCAATCTGGAAAATCAAGCGTTTTAATCACGACTATTGGTTAAATATCACAATACTATGACTATGAAATATAATATGCAATAAAATTAATTCTCATAAAATTATTAAAATATGATTTAAAAAATAAGATGAAAAAGTTATTAATTAATAATTATTTTAAAATAATTGAAAATCAAAACATCATTTATCGACTTTTTATGTAATTTTCTATAACTTTGCAAAATTCTACATAGCTTTTACGTAAAAATTAATATTTATATTATATTCAGAAAATGGAAATAACTCGTTAATGAAGATAATTATAAGTTTTTTGATTTTATTTTTTTGATAACTTTATTAATAACTGCGTTACTTTTTTTTGGTAACTGTAATGGTAACGTAATTTTTTTTTTTGATAGTACAAATTTTACAATTATTTTTATCGTTATTTTGCATACGATTGAACACGATTCGATTGGACATTAGCCACTCATAGCTTGAAAACTAGAAAGCCTTTAAGCACCCCTCCGTTGTGATTGGTAATTGTCGATTTTCAAAAAATAAAAAATAATAAAAAGTTACTTTCTCAAACGGTAGCTGTAACAAATTATTTTTAAAAATCAGTTACTAGTAACGGTAACTTGTTACTTTTTCTACTCAGTAACGAGTAACTATAACTTCTTATTTTTAAAAAGTAACTTTCCATTCCCTGATTATATTAATATTTACATTATAATATTGAAGTATTAATATTGAAGTATTATTTAAATCTATTAAATATAATTAAAAAAAAAATCATTTTTTTATTTAAAAGATTGCTCAAACATAATAAAAGACTGAATAGCAAAATTATTACATAAAGTGATTATAATTGGTAATTTTTAATTAACATTATTTAGAAAATTGACTTATATCCACTTTACTGCGTTTAATGCTAGGAATCCGAAAAATGAGGCGAATCCTTCTTTCAACCACACTTCGTCCCACCATTTTGGCGTTACCAAATTACCGAACCATTGATGAGCGACTTCGTGTGCCGCGATACTAGCTATTGACTTTTTGGACTCAATAATACTGTCATCTTTCTTTATAAGAATAACATCTTCTCTAAAAATATCAGTATAACTCATTAGTACTTTTAATCTAAATTGTAATAAAAATTCTGTTAATTAATTTGTATGAGAAACACATAACATTCTAAAGTAATCACAATCACAAAAATTCTTAGAAAAATCTGGAAAATGCAAATTATATTTAAAAAGGACGATATTTTTAAACTTCAAAACTTTTTACAAAAAGACGAAGTTAAGCATTGCAAAAGAATAATTCATTTACCGAAACGTTAAGAGACCCCAATTTTCCATTGCGGCGTATGCTAGTTCAGGAACTACAATCACATCTAATTTATCTAATTCATAATAAAATCCAGTAAAATTCTGTACTACACGAAGAATTTTCGATATCAGATCGCCTACATATCTTGTATCGTTTGCAATCTCTTTTCTAAAAAAGACCGTATGCGATGGTCGATCGGTGACAGCAACATCGTAACTCGAAAAATCGGTGACCATAAAAGCAACCACGTAAGTGGGCATACGAAAGGTTTTCTCATAATGGTCCCAAACATATCCCGGCATGTCATGTCTGAAGAAAAGGGAGATTGAATTAAATTCAGATTATCTTTTAAGTAAACGTTGTGATTACAGGAATACAACTTTGCAGGGGATATAATAAGCGATGTGTATATATGTTACAATTGCAACAGAATCGCTCTCTTTTACATTTCCTCGGTGAATTTGCGCATTGAATTCGAGTGCGATCGCATGTTAGACTTTCTGCCAATCGAGATGCGAAACGGCGTTTTGATCCACGGCTCGTCGAAGCATGGATAAGCTGATCGAGCGTAATCTGGGGAGAAGTTTGACACCGCTATCCATCTGGAAAAAAAAAGTCTGCTTTCGCAATGTGCAGATATAAGTTGCGTTAAATATAACATTGGAAAATAAATGAAAATTGACATTTGAAACTAATAATAAATTAACATTAATAAGGCTGGATTGTTCTTTTCGATAAACTTCAGCGTTCACTCTTTTACTCTTCTACTCTCTTATTCTCTTATTTTTTTATTCTTTTGTTTCCATTGGATAAATCATCATAGTTTATCTGAAGGTGGAACAATCGGCCCTAAATAAAGTATCTTTTAAAACTTAAAGTCAGGGACGAAGATTTTTTATTTTTCTGAGTGTGTGGAGTCATTTAAGCGAAAGGAGGGAGAATTTCAAAATAACACAAATATTTTATCTTTTGTATGTACAAAATATATTTCTACATATACATATATATGTATACATATATACGTATACACTCTAGTCATTTTTGTCAAATTACTTAAAATTTTTTTAAATTTGTCAAAAATTATATTTTTTAAAATATATTTTTTTTTTAAATTCTGGATATGGAATTCAACACTCACAGGAGGATCAAATAGAAAGCTCTATATCCTTCATAAGAAAGTTTCCGTCTATGTTTGATATAGGTACAACAAATTAAGAAATAAAAGTTTTAAATGGTTAAAATAAATCTTTAATGCTTAAATAATTCAGTGTAAAATTAACAATGTGAATTTAACTAATAAATTAAAGACATCACATTTTTGTATTAAATTGTAATACCTGGTTTCGTTTGTATTATGGTCAATGTGTGCGCTCCTGAAAAACCCTTTTGGTTTTTGATATAACGGGATCATATATTTTATGTGTAAAATGTAAATTTTTTCCGTTATCAATACATGTAAAAGAAATACATCGATAAAATCCTCTTCATCATCCATTACAGCGTATGTGCTCGTTAACTTTGATGCATTCGACGAACGAAATTCCTTCACGCTAATGTCTTGTATAAGGAGCTTACGGGCGTGAAATCGTATATGTTTAGTCGGTACTTTGGAATAAAATTGAATCTGTGTATCACCGATCATTGTGAAATTATTCTCTTCCAATATGGGTAATATTTTCAAACTGCAGTAAAGAGAGAAAAAAATTGCGATATGACATTTTAAAAAAAGCGTAATATATAAAAATTTCTGTCTATTTATATAATTTTATTTACTCTAAATGCAAATATCTTCTGTTTCTAATATTAATTTTAGCTGTAGTTTGCCAATTGGAGGAAATGAAATTAAGTGCTGCAAATATTTTAGTTCAAGTCTGTAATGTCAATCATTGATGATAAAATGTGATGCAGACAAAAAAGTCAACATCAATCAGTTGACTAACACAGTGAAAATCTGTGTTAGTTAATCTGTGTTAGTAAATCTATATATAATAATATATTATCTCAATTTTAAATATAAAATAAAAAATAACGCATTTATTTAAATAACATGTATATATATAACATTAAAATATCTTCCTCTGTTATACTAATGATAATTTGATAAATCTTTTAAAAAAATCTTAAAATTTGAGGAAGCAGTCAAAAATTGCAGCAAATAGAATTTTTTTTCCATTTCTAGCATTTGAATAATCAATAATCGAAAAGATTATCAGAAATATGTTGATTGTCCTGCTTACGTGTATTCTAATGGTAAGACTTGATCAGACAGCCTTTCCAAATGAGCCATTTTACGAGACTTCCCACTGATCGACCCTCTATGTCTACCATCCTGCCGATTTTCCATATTCGAACTAACGAACCAGTAAATGATCATTGAACCAATGAAGATGAGTATCACCACCGCGATTCGCATTTTCACTTGCCATCCACGATGCCTAACGTAAGCCGGAATTTCTAAAGCATGTTTTCATATAGTTTACAAAATTGTATTTATTTATAAATTTTATTTATAATTATTTAACAAAATAAGAATAAGTAAGAATAACAGTAAACGTTGTAGCTATCAAATTTTAATCCTAATATCTTATATGTACATAATGTTACTGTAACTTTGATTAAAATTAATGATACACAATATTCCATTGATTAGTCTATTATCTGGAAGAAAAAATTTGACAGTCTGTTCAAAAAATATTTAAAAATGACAAATTCAGGACAGTATTGCCAAAATTTGACAGTATCTCATTTTATCTGTAACTGTCCGAATTTGTCCGAAATTTGTATATTTTGATAATTTTTCGAAAAAATTTAAAATGAATTCAAATTTAACCACATTTCATATTTTAACCACATTTCGGACAATTTCGGAGACATTTGGATAAATTTTTCCACCAGGGAACTGGTGACTTCATTTTTGTGAGATAATATTAGGTGTAGTAAAAAGAAATCCATTCAATTTCATTCAAAAATAATGGATTTCTTTTTACTACACCTAATAATATGCTGAAATTTTTATGAAAATACCGTATTGACAAGTTATTGTATGTGTTGAATGTGATTAATTCTTTTAAAATAAACTTTTAAATGTTTGTTTCTTATATTGCACTTATATTGTCTATATTACATCTTTTAATAAATTTAATATCTTTTCTTTCGATGAAACCTTGCTTTTACCTTGTGTTGGATTGTCTTCCATGTTTATCGGCAAGAGGTGCTATATTCCTGCAAGATTTAGCAACGTACGGACATCGCCACGACGGGTAACTAGCTGCTACTGCGTCCGAAAAGCAGAAAACGCTCATGGCTCAAAGGCTCATGGTTCAACCAGACACGCCCGCCAAAAATAGAGAGACACTTGTACGCTATTTCCCTACTCTTACATACTTTACTCTGACGTTTACTGTCGTTATTTGCCTGAAATTTTTTCGCGGACCGTTGTGACGACTTGACGAGTGCGCGTCTCGTTATGCAACGTGTCTTCAAGAATACACCAGCAGCGCCGTCATCTCGTGTTTATAATTTACAGACTTCCGGTAAATAGTCGAAGAAGAAATTCAGAAACGTTTCGTCCATTAATCATTACAGACACAACAAATAAAATTGACTAATACCAGAAAACAATTCGCTGATCTTAAAATATGAGCAAAACATTGTAAATTTAAAAGTAATGAACATTTAATTAATTTTCTACTATTCTTTGGAATGGAATCTTACTTTAATGGAATCTTACTTTAAAGAATGAAAATTAAGTCAGTCTTGAAAAAGAGAGACTTAATTTTCAATCTTTACGAGTAAGATTCATTCTAAAAGTTAAAGACTATATATATATATATA